GGGGTAAGATGAGCTCGAGCAGCACAAGCAAAGAGAAACATGGGATCACAATGGAAAACGAGCCGAGAAGGTGGAAAGATGAAGCCGAAGTAGATAGAGGAGAGAGAGAGAGAAGAAAAGAGGAAGAAGAAAAGAGGAAGAAGAGAAAGAGGAAGACGAAGGAAGCAGGAAAATGAGTCGAACCAAAGGAAAACGGCAAGGTAAGCGAGAGTTCTCACAGGGGGGCCCGCCCGTACTGTCCTGTCCTGTCCCGTACTGTCCCGTATCAACTGCGTACCAGCGCGTATTGTTTGGACTCTGGGCGCCGTGGGCAGCGGAAAAGGGGAACACCTGACACCTCCACAGAACGGCGGCTGGGCCAATTGGCAGCCGTTTGTGGCGCTGGGTGGCTCCGTTTGATACGATGCTCATGGCTGGATCAGAACGGTAGATGGCGTATCGTACGGTATCTTACCAAGACCGGCCGCGCATCATTTGTGGAACTGGGGCAGCGTGAACTACCCAAAGTTACGCCGCGCACGATGCTTGGTACGGCTAGGAACAGCGAGCACAAGCCCCACAACAGCTCCCAAGCTCCCCTGACTGTGTGCGCAATACACACGCAATACATCACACCGTAACTTTGGATGCTGTTGTCGCCACCCATACCTTATATATCCGTACATGTCGCCTGTTATTTAACTGCGGTAATGCTGAATGCCGCCCGTCTTCACAGCTTTACAGCTCTTGGGTATCAAGCTCTCTCGCCCAGGAAGAAGAAAGGAAAGAAAGGAAAGAGAAAAGAAACCTAAGCCAAAAAGAGAGAGGGAGAAAAAAAAGGAAGAGGCTGGGACGAGATTATGGAGCATGCGAGTGGATAACTCGGCCCTGCTAAGGAGCTGTGGCTCCACCGCACTATTTAACCCTGGAATCCATGAATCATGATACCCCTGGTTCCAACTGCCAGATGCGTGCGGTTGCGCATGGGTTTAGCAACGGCGTTTTGCATGACAGCATCCTCCATTTTTACAGCCGGGCCTTGTATCTTTTTACAACCGTGTTTCTTTTATTTAGCCTTTTGAGTTACTCTGTAACTACTTACCCCTGGTTGCAGGCAGTATTAGTGATGTCGTTGGGCGTGTTTAAGTTGGTGCTCCAGGGACGGTGCTGATAAAGTTGGGGCCCACTTAACTATCTTTCCATCCATGTTCACAGCTTTATGTAACCCCATTTTCAACTTCATCAAGAACCCAAAGTTCAACTAAAGTTCTGGATAAACCTCTCAAACGAGCTGGTAAGTTCGCAGCAGAGTCTCCAGCCTACCACACTCTAAACGCGTCAAAAGAAAAGAAGAAGAGAAGAAGCGAAGAGAGGACTACGTCCTTGGCTGAATGACGGGTTGCTTTTGTTTGGGCGGCGTCGTCAAGGGGAGCAGAGGGCAGCAGACAGGTTTGTGTTGGCTGAATTATCTGCTGTTCGTTGGCCAGGATATATCGCGCAACTCGTTCAAGATGAGATGTCTCTCTGATTTGTTTGTTTATTTTCTTGCTGCGAATGGCTGCTTCGCGAAGAGCGCTCCTCCACCACCGTAGCAGCAGACTGCAGTATCTTCCAAACCAACCATGTCTTCGTCCGAAGCTTCTGTGTCTCAACGATTGATTATTTTGACTTTTTTTTTTAACTTCCTTATTTTTGGTTGTTTCTGTTTTGATTTTTTACATGTACGGAGTATATATAATTATAGACATACATTGCGCTCTCTGGGCGTGCTAGTATCTACTCTCCCTGGACGCTTATGATTAGAGTTAAACCGAGAACCATGGGAAACCTATAACAACTATAACACAGCTGATCTCGTCATTTTTTCCTTAGATTGCTGAAACAGAAATATACAACAGGATTTGTTTTTGTTCTCAACGGGAAACGTGAAGGGTCACAAAGGCGTCACAGAACGGGTAAAAAAAGGTTCTCGAACCTGTCGGTCCCACGGCTGTCAGCCCGAAACCTTTTTTGTTTTTTTTTTTTTTTTTTTTTTTTTTTGAAACTGTATGAACTGCTTCTCGCAGGCAGGCTTGGTAATGAACCTTGAACAACAAGAAAGAGTTGGAACTTTTCATCCCCGTCATCGCAAAGTTGAGTTGGGAGACGAAGCACCCCGCCCGATGAGTTGCTTAATCTGTTACACGCACCAACCCCGAGATTGGACTTGAAAGGAAGCGTTCCATCCAACTTAGCTAATTATGCTCAATGATGCTGACCAACAATTCCCAACCAACCGCCCATGTGGTGAGGGAAAACAAGAAAGAAAGAAATAATGAGGCTGGTTCCTGCTCCTCATAATTTCTTTCACCATTCCTGCGCCAAGTCCAAGTATTTTATATATCAACCCCTCTCTCTAACTTCCTGCTTTGATTCTCCAGGGTAAGATCCAACAGAATAATGCCATTGCACGTGCTGCGAAGACCCAGATGATCTCACATTACAACCCCGAGCTCTCTTGTCTATCTTCAATAGCAGGGAAATTGAAAGGAGAGTGGGAAGAAACATGGATTGAAGCAATGAACGGGTTATCTGGCTTGCCCAACTGGGTTCAGGATGTAGCAACGTGTATTTTATAAGGAAACCATCGGTGATAATATCCCACTTCTTTCTTCATTGACTTATTCCTCTGTAAAGCGAAAATCGCTTTCATGGCTTAGCTGGTTACCCCCCTTGCCGAAGAATCATGGCAATTTTACTGTACTCGTACGATGCCCCGTCTATGGAATGATGGCCGGAGCGTGCATTGATCAAGTCGATGAGATATGGATATCAAGCTCAAGGACAGAAATCGGAGAGAGGATAGGGTCGGATGAAAAGTCAAATAATGGAATGGAAGTTCGAAAATGAAAAAGCACCACGGTTTTGCACACAATTGGGTCATCCATCACAAACAATAATGATTCCTCTCAGGACATACAGCAGAAGTGATCTTGCCATTGGTCCGCGGGGAAGGTTCTGTAGCGCTCTTGAGGTTGTATCTATCTAGTCGTCGATCCTGTGTTGTGATAAAACTGCATAGATAAGTATATGTATGTATATACATACTCCGTACAGATCCGTATATTTATTTGCAAGGCCGCCTCCGGGAGATGGCCAGGCACTGACTGAAAACGGTCTGTGCGAGTTTCAGTGTCTGATGGGCATTCACGAGGGGTTCCTCCTGCTCAGCGGCGCTTTTTACGCCGTAGATCCCACGCTTGGCTGGGCAATATCCACTAACGGATTACTATGCAGCACTCTCCCTCCGGCATAAGTGGGTTGCTGTATTCTGTACAGAGCCAGTTGGACGCATGTCACACGGCAAAACCATTTACGGGAACGCGGTGCCTGTAGCACTAGTATGTAAGGTAAATACTAATCATGATATTCGCCCTTCTATTGACAGGGGCGAGCTTGTTTACTTCACTTCTGTTTTTGCCAAGGGGGAAAAAAGAAGAGAGATAGAAAAGCGGAGCCTCAACCGATCCAGCCCATCTTTGATTAGTGAGATTTCGGCCATCCGAGTTGTTTTTGGGGTGCTTTCACTGGCTTTGTAGAACCACTAGTTTCGTCTACAAGATCGACAGCTGCAGCAGCTTGAGCATATATTTATTACTAGGCGCTGCGCAGTGGTAATTCCTGCCCCGTACATACGTAGTACATACCATACTGGGTGTACTTGAGTCTTGGTATGTGATATCCCGTATTGAAAAGGTCACGCCGCCGTTCTTGAAGGGTATTAAGTTGGTAACTATGCAGCCACTAGTTATTTCTCTCTACGAGACGAACTAAACCTCGAAGGGTGGATTGGTGGAAAGGAATATGCAATGTCAAAAAGAATGTGAGGGCGTGATGCCTTTCCGTGATGCCTTTCCAAACCAAAACTGATTATCTACCGATCTGTATACGGAGTATGGGATTCGGGAAGGAGTCGATATCCATACCCTGACATTTTCTACGACTAGAAGTCGGGGGGATCTGTTATATCGATAAAAAACGAGGAATGGGAGGAACCAGCACCAAACGTGTTCTGAATACTGAAAGCATCTTTGGTATTGATGAATTCGAAAAAAGGATTACCCTGTTTGTCTTCCTCCTTTCCCCCTCCTTCTCTCGCCCTCTCTTTCTAAACATATATACATTTCACTATAAATCATCTATCGCCCGACTTAAAAAAACAAGTATATGCACAAACACACCATTCATTCCCTGCTGGAGGGTCCTCTCTGAATAAACTAGTATTTTTCCCATGAATATATACCTCCTCAACCCTGCATCAGCGCCTGCTACTTAGCAATCAAGATATCAATGCGAGTAAGAACCTTGCCATACTCTATGAAATAGCATACATACATGGATCCTGGGCATTCGGGGGGTTCCGCAAAAGGACCTGAAAGGTGGGTTATTGGTGTGATAACACCAAAAAAATCCCTTGTATCTCCTTCAGCTTCCTTCCACTTGACGCCAATAACGATTCTAACGCTCCCTCCTCCCCGCAGGCTGAAGTCAATGAATCATCATGACGCTCCCCACGCTCAAGCCAAGCAAGGCATATTTGAAGGCATGCGGTGCCTGTCCTTGAGCGGGGCTTGCCGCTGGCTTGAAGAAAACCGTGAGGCATTGATTGAAGAGCAAGGCAGATTCAGATTTAATAGTTGGCTGAGTTATTTCCATTGGCAGCCCTTTCTCCCCAAGCCATCATTATTAATACATATTAAGTCACTTACTTTTCTCGCGCATGAAAGCGTGAGCACGCGATCAGGTCTCTTTTCGATTGAATCCTTGTTATGTTTTGCTTTTTTCATAATCTGACGATGATATGATCTGATTTGATCCCTGCGGGGTGGACGTTGGAACTTGGACTGTTGACGTGGATGGAATTGGAACGGTGATTGGGTGAGGGGGGTCTTGAGAAAATGCAGCTAGGCATGGAGCCTGGGCTGAATGGCATGGCAATTCATTCTTTCGGCGAAATCAAACAAAAAAGATCAGGTGAGTTGACAGGGTGGAGATGGACGAGGAGCTAGTCCGGCGTCGAACGTCTTGGGGCTTTAATTTTGAACCCAGCGCGTACATCCTGGGTCGGGTGATTCGTTGTCGGTAATGTCGAATGAGAGAGGGCCCTTTTTCGAGGAGATAAAGGGCAGACCGTGTGCGGATGTTTCGTATGGCATGATGCCATTATTGAAGTGACGGAATGAATCATGAAACTTGCGATATGCAATAAGTCATCTGATAATGTGGAGAAAAAGAAATTGGAAACGATAAAACGGGCTTGATATAGGGTTTAAGAATCAGGAGGAGCCATGGAAAACAAGTACGAAGTAAGCAGTACGGCGAATGTTCAGAACCAACAGCCTTGGAGGTGGATGAACGGATACTTGCCTTGCATCCAGTACTCGAACGAACAAGTCCTGATTAGGAAATGAACAGTCTCTTGCCTGGCGAATTGAATTAACTAGGCTTTGTTCAGAAGCAAGCCACATTGGAAATTGTTGATATCCGATCATTCCTTTGCTTTTCTTTCTATCCATTGTTCTCCGTATTTACCATCAAACCATCATCCCGCAACAAGAGACATGATGATGAGAACCATAATATAAGGAGACACAGAATACGCGGGCACAGCACAAGCCCCCGGATTTCGCCTCCTTCGTGGTCGTTCTATTTTTTTATTTACCCTGAGTGGAACTGAGATGGTTTGTTCCACCCATCCCGTAAGATCCCCTTTTTTCCAGTGATTAAAGGATGTACGGGAAGGCATGTTTCGTCAGATAAGAATTGAAAAAATAATGTTGTTCTATGAGCCTGTAGTTCATTTCCCGCAAAGAGGCGGTGGTTGAGCGACGTAGGTTGAATGAAGCAGGGAGTCTAGCGCGTTGTGAACGACACAAGTTCCACGCAGGATTCATCACTTGCAAAAACTCAACTCCTTCCAGCCGTCCCATAGCCGACCATGATATCGCCCTGCGATCCGGCCATCCTAAGCAACAATCCCCAGTTCAAAGCCCTCCATCAACAGCTGACAACGGCCATCTTAAACCCTGATGGCTCCACACGCGCCCATGCCGCCGATCCGTCCCGGAGAGCAGTGCAGGCTGTAAGTTTTATGTCGGGCGGACTGATGAGGAGGGTCTTATTTTCAGAGAGACGCGTGTATACATCGATGACGATAGACTGATTTCGAAAACAGGATCTCAAGAAGTACTTGGGAAGGGCGGTGAAAGCGCGGATATTGACCAGGGTGGTTGCGCAGGTTGCGGTGGGGGATGGGAACGGGGGTTTAGATGATGAGGTGAGTCCTCCATTTCGTAAATATTTGTGGATAAGGGGATGGAAATGCTATCTTTTCCTTTGCATAGAGAAATACCGATATATACATTATATCATTGACTGACACTTTGAGGCTTCTGATACTTCAAGCTCCGAAACCTTGTTTCCGTCATCGTTCTCTACCTTCAACACCCCCCCCAATAATAACAATAAAGAGAACGAAAATAAACAAATCTCCCCGGACGAGACCTCCGAGCTCCTCTCTCTTCTCTCCCCAGATCTGAAAAAGTTCCACTCGGCAATTCCCTCCCTCATCCCTAGCATCACCGCCATCCTCGCCGCGGACCTCACTCATCTAAAAACCCTCGCCAACGCCTCACCCCCTGTCAACAACAGCAGCAACAATGATAGACACAACTACCAAACCGCCACAAACACCACCTCCTCTTCCTCCTCCGCCCGCATCGCAACCAACAAGAGCAAAAATACCCAACCACGCCCTAGTAACCGTCTCCGCCCCCTCTCCCTCAAACCCTCCCCAACCGATATATCCCTCCCATCCCAGCTATCCAGCCGCTTGCGCACCCTCCGTACAATCCAATCGCACGACCTCCCCACTTCCCGTAACAAAATGACAGTCACGGCCGCAGCTGTATTGGCTGCCCATGCGGTTGTGATGGAGCGCGTGATACATATTCTTGAGCGTACCAGCACGGCGTTTTGGCGCGCGGGGTGAAAGCGAGAGCGGACCATATGGCAGTGTGTTGGATGGGGTCGCAAGGAATGTTTGGCATGCTATTTCCTTTTACTTTGTTCTCTTTCATTTT